AAGGCTGAAGTCCTTGACCCTCTGCAGCAAGCGCTTCAGGTCCTCCTCGGTTTCAGCAAGCAGGATTGTGTCATCTGCATTATGCAGATTGTTGATTTATCTTCCACCAATCCTGACCCCACATTTCTCCTTATAGAGCCCAGCCTCCCGGGTAATCTGTTCTGCATACAGGTTGAAAAGGTATGGAGATAGGACACATCCTTGGCATACGTCCTTCCCAGTTTTGAGCCATGCAATATTTCCTTGCTCTGTTCTGACGACTGCCTCTTGGTCCTAGTATAGGTTTCGCATTAGCACGATCAAGTATTCTAGGATTCCCATTCTTCTCAGTCAGCCACAGTTTGTTATGATCCACACAGTCAAATGCCTTTGCATAGTCAATGAAACACAGATAGACATTCTTCTGGTATTCCCTGCTCTCAGCTAAGATCCATCTAACATTAGCTACAATATCCCTATTACCATGACCCCTTCTAAACCCAGCCTGGACTTCTGGCAGTTCTCTGCCGATGTGCTGTTCCAGTAGTTTTTTTTATAATCTTCAGTAGAATCTTCCTTGCATGTGAAATCACTGATATTGTTCTATAGTTTCCACACTCAGTTGGGCCACCCTTCTTTGGAATAGGAACAAATGTAAATCTCTTCTGGTCAGTTGATCAAGTTGTTCTTGATCTGTACGTCCAGGGCAGCATCTGTTAGCTGAAATATATCAATTGGTATACCATCTATTCCTGGGGTGTTATTTTTTGCTATTTCCTTCAAAGCATCCTGAACTTCTTCCTTCATCACCATAGGCTCTTGCTCATATGTTGTTTCATGAAATTCTTCTGTGTCTGCCAATTCCTTTCGATATAGTGACTCAGTATATTCTTTCCACTTCTTTTAATACTTCCTGGATAGAGCTTCTAGTTAATCCAAACCTCAGCCCTTTTAGTTAGCAACCAGGGCTAACCATTTAGGTACCAGGGCTCCTTGTTAAGAGCATGGAAACCTGGTGTTAGAGACCACTGAGTCATAGAAAAACCTAGGTTCGAATCCCATGTGGGCCTTTCTAACTGATTTCCTTTCTTATAGTGAAGGAAGGTCTCCTACTCTTAGTGACCCTGTATGGCAGGAAGAAAGCTTGCCATATCCTGTGCCACCCTCACAGTCTTCTTTCTACTTAAGCCCGTAGTTGTAGACATGGTGTCAATCCATGTCTTTGAGAGTCTTCCTCTCCTTCACTGATACTCTGCTTTTCCAAGCATAATAACCGTTTATTAGTAACCGGCCCAGAGTATGTGAGATCAAGTCTCATCACCCTCATTTCTAAGGAGCATCCTAGCTGCACTTTTTTCAAGATAGTTTTCCTTGTTTTTTTTGGCAGTTTGTGGCATGTTCAGTACTCTGCCAACACCACAATTCAAAGGCATCATTTCTTCAGTCTTCTATTTTCAGCTTGAGTTTTACAGAGAATGACTTTTTCTGGGGTTATATAAATGCCCAAAGATGGAAGGAGTCATCTGCATTCAAAATTGCTAACTAGAAACACTATGTATCTAGTGGCTTTGGGGTGTCACTCCTGGAACTGTCAGTTCAGAGAACCTCAACTGTGTTGCTGCCCTGTCCATATGTCTTACTCAGATCTAAAAAGGGCAGGGGCTGTTTATCTTTTATCTGCCATTGTGATTGGCCCAGATACCTTGATAAATATTTGAGTTGAATTGTTCAAGTGAGATTGTGACAGGAGCATTTATGGATGTGTCTTGTGTAGCTCCGGGTTGGGAACACTTTATCTCCTTGAGTAGTTCACTTTTTTTTTTTCGCTTTTATAGCCCTCCTCTGCTGTAAGAATGTAAGATGGATCCAGAAGAGCAGGAACTATTGAATGACTACAGATACCGAAATTACTCTTCGGTAATTGAAAAAGCTTTAAGAAATTTTGAGTCGTCAAGTGAATGGGCGGATCTCATCTCTTCCCTTGGCAAGCTCAACAAGGTATGTCGGCCTTGGATTGTGTTACTTGGATGGCATGAAGGTCAGGACAGGATTTTCTTTTTGTTATTCCAGGTGATTTGTGATGATTAATAACAATTAGAGGAAGTAGATAAGAAAAGTTACCCGTATTTCCATCACCCAGAAGTAATCATTGTTAATTGATATATGTGTGTACATCTTTTCAGGTTTTTTTTTTGTTTGTTTGTTTTCCTCCCTGAGCCTAGAATTATGGTGGTGTTGATGGGGTCATCTAAAAGTTTTTTCCTCAGTATTTGTGGCTGACATTTGCAATTATCAGATCTGATGTCCAGAGATAAAGCTTTTTTTAGGTAAAGAAGGATGATTCCAATTTATAACAACCCCTTGTGTATCAATAGAATGTCCTTCTTGGTGTTTTCTGTTGTTGATTTTTGTGGAAGGAGATTGCCAGGCCTTTCTTCTGTGCCACCTTTAGGTGGCCTCAAACCCACTGCCTTTTGTTTGGCAGCCAAGTGCGGTAACCATTTATAGCACCCGGGGCTCAGTTATTTTGGGTTTTGGCTCTTTTGTGTTTTTAAATATACTACTTAATGGGCTCAAGCATATTAGATATTATGAGAATGGTGTAAAATAGGGCAAGATTGAGATCCACCATGAGTCATAATTGACTCAACATCACCTTAACACCACCACCACCACCTAGAATTTTGAATGCCTTTTCTCCTTTGGTCTCATTAATGACCATTTCCCTACTGATTTTCAAATTCTAGAAGGTATGAATTAAATATTGAACTTGTCATAACAGTATATGTATATGTGTGTATGTATGTGTACACATTCATGTTCTCATATGTTCTCAGAGCTAGGGCAAGGATAAAAGGGTATATCGAAGAAGAACAAACTCTGATCTGATCAAATGTATCTTTTACCATGTGATCTTTCTCTTGGGGTTACTGGACTCTTTGATTACTGAGAGTTATCTCCATCAAATATCATTGTATTTTTCATTCTGTCTAGAAGGGGAATGACATAGTAATTCTTATGCACTTATGTGACCAACATGGCATGTGGCTAGAAAGATACCGTGGGCTTGACAAGTCTGTGCTTGGCTCTGTCGTCCACTGGCCAGTGTTCCTGGCTGGAATACCTGACTTTCGAGCCAGAGGGCCATGTGGGAGTTGGAAGATGCCCAACTCTTCTCTAAAAAGCTTGATTTCTCAGGTCAGAGGTATCAGGCAATTCTAATAAGCCTCGCTTTCCCCCACTCACCCCTGCAAGGAACAGGTAAGAGTGTAGGAGGCCAACAGCTCCACCCAGCATAGTGGTGGCCAGCTGTGGGCCAGTTGTAAATGCCAGAAAGCAGCTATCAGCACTGACAGATGGTCATCAGGCTCAGCAGAGGCTGTTACAGGCAGTGGCTGCGAAGTGCCTGTTCTGTCGCAAGGTATTTTTCCTGTTTATAAATGTGATGCATGGCTGACTGCCAACTGGGAGGGACAATTGTATACATCAAAGATTTTCCTTTAAAATTGGAAATAAGGGTGTAAGAATTTTTTGATTATGCAACTCAAATGCAAGAATTTAAAAAAAATTTAAAAAAGAAGTTTCAAGCTGAAGGGAATACTCACTGACTTGAATGAAAACAGGTTATTATTTTATGGCATGGGGAGGGGTAGATAGGCTTGAGGTATGTTCTAGTGCTTTAGGGTGAGTCACTTTTAGTATTTGACTCTCTAAAAGTATGAAAAACAGCATAAAGTGAAGCTTTTATAGCATGTTATTGTTAGGTGCCTGGAGTTGGTTCAAGCTACATTATGAATAACAGAATGACGTTTTACCTGACCTTGTGCTGTCCTCAGCACAAACTCATTGCTGTGTGTGAGTTCATTGATGCAGCCTGTGTCAATCCGTCTCTAAAGGAGTCTTCCTCTCTTTTGCTGACCCTCTACTAAGTCCTTCTCTCAGAACTGGCTCCTCCTAATAACATGTCCAGAGTATGTAACATAAGTTAATGCTGTCATTTAGCTATGTTAGAGTGGGTAATTAAGTGGCTTTAGTACAGTTACAGTATTGTACAACCAATACTACTCTCTAGTTCCAAAGCATTTTTATCACCCAAAAGGAAACTCCACATCCATTAAACAATTACTCCCCATTTTGTCCTCTGTCCGTCCCCTGGCAACTAGTTGTTTACTTACTTTCTCTGTGGATTTGCCTGTCTGTGGTATTAAGGGTTTATTGTTCAAAATGATTTCCCTAGCCATTGACTGACTTTACCTTATGGATGGGTGGGAATATGAGAATGGAGGGGGGGTTGTTGGCCTATCCACAAAGGCGTTGGCTAGTCTCCCCAGTCCACAAGGGGATTGGCTAGTCTTGCTATTAAATTGAGTAGATCCAGTAGCAGAATTTGAGACTCTCACACTAGTGAAAAAGACGCAAGAGAATGCAGCATATCCTTCTTGAGATTCTTATACCAACTGGACTAGGGCCTATGGGAGCAGCCTCCATAGCAGCCACAGCAAAGGCCCAAGGACCTGACTTGAGACAGAGCAGACCTTGAGACTGCTTCCCCACGGGGAACCAGAGCTAAGAGCCTTTGCCCAAATATGTTGGAGGACCATGGAGCCATAATTAGCAGGGTTAAATTTTGTAACACTGTAGCAGGGTTAAATTTTGTAACACTGGCCTAAAGCCTTGGTGAGGCTGAAGGCTGAGATGCCTGCAACCACATGTCAGCAACTGTCCTGACTTTTGTATTCTGCTACTAACTTGAATTAATAACTTTTTTACTTCCCTAATGTAGTTCTGTGTGCTCAGTGAGCTATCACAATGGAGTCTTGACCCCATAAATCTCTAAGATTGGTGTTCAATTGAATAGAAGGAAATACAGGAACATGGGGGACACATCTGACTTCATGGCAATTGGTTTTTGTGTTGTTGACAGTGACGTTTTCCTTTTGTGGAGTTGGCAAGCATCACATATGGCAATTCCCAAGCTGCCCTTGTTCTTTTTTGTACTGTGTTTGATATTTCATATAAATGGAACTCTGTATGTGTGTGCTAAATTACACATGCATATACACATACATACATGTTTTGTGTCTTTTAGCCATGTTGTTGCTACATGCCATCAAGTCACTTGCAATTCATTGTAACCCTGTGTACAACAGTTCTGAACCCTGCTCTATTCCGAGCCAGCCTTATTCATTGTCTCTGACAAACCTACCCCGAATACCCCAGTCACTGGGTCAGTCCATCTCATCGAGGGTCTTTCTCTATTGTGTTGTCCCTCCACCCTCCAAAGCGTGATGTCCCTCTCCAAGTACTGGTTCCTCCTTGCAACATGCCCAAAGTATGTCGGACAAAGCTTCAGAATCTTTGCCTCCAAGGAGCAGCCTAATTTCACCCTCTCTAGGATGAAACTTTTTGTTCTCCTAGCAGTCTGTGGTATATTCAACACTCTTCTCCAGCACCACTGCACAAAGGCATCCGTTCTCTTTCTATCATCCTTAGTCGTTGTCCAGCTTTCTGATGCATAACAAGTAATTGCAAAGACTATGGCCTGGATCAGGCATACCTTAGTCCCTAGACTGACATAATTGCACAGGAAAAAATAATGAGTGTTGGTGAGGAAATGGAGAAATGAAAATGTTGTGCATGGTTGGTATAAATATAAAAGTTACATACACATTGAGTTTTTAACCAAAAGATCAGCAGTTTGAATCTGCCAGCTGCAGATGAGTGGTCTCCTCCCATAAAGATTTATAGCCTTGGAAACCAGATGCAGGGATACCATTATTCTGAACCTAGCAGTGGTGGGGTATTTTTTTGGGGGGGGGAGGGGGAGGTGAGAGAGAGAAAGAGATAGATACACACACAAATAAACATATACATTTATGTAAACCCATTACCACCAAGTTGAGTCTGACTCCTGGTGACCTTGTAGGACAGAGTGGAACTGCCCCATGGTGTTTCCAAGCCTATAAATCTTACAGAAGCAGAGTTTCTTATCTTTCCCCTGTGAAGCAGCTGATAGATTTGAACTACCAACCTTTTTATTTGTTTTTTTGCAACAAAATGTTTTAACCGCTATACCACCAGAGAGAGCTCCAGTTGTCTATGTTACAGACCGTATGTCAACGATTTCAGCTTGTGTAGCTCCACAGTCAGCACAGTTGGATCAGCAGTCAGAAAATCAAAAGACAAATAGCATTAGAAAAATTTGCTGTCATTGGACAATTAAAACAGACATTTGGGGGAGGGGGGGAAGAAGAACGAACTGGGGAAGAGGGTAGAGAAAACAGTGCAACAATGAATGAATGAAAACCCAAAATCTCTGTAAATGTTCATTAAAACTAATAAAATTTAATAATAATTAAAAAAAACCAACAAAAAAAACAAAAAAAAAAGAAAAATTTGCTGTCAAAGACCTCACCAAAGTCCTAAAGAGTAATGATGTCAGTCTTGAGACTGAAGTGCACATGTTCCAGGCAGTGGCCTTTGCAATTACTTGCTATACGTCAGAGAGCTGGACAGTGACTAAGGGTGACACCAGAAGGATCAATGCCTTTGAGTTGTGGTGCTGGAGAAGAGTATTGAACATACCATAGACCACTAAGAAAACAGAAAAGGTCTGTCTTGGAGAAGGTGAAATCAAGTTTCTCTTTGGAGGCAAGGATTTTGAAACTCTGTTTCATATACTTTGGGCACATGGCCAGGAGGCGCCAGTATTGGAGAAAGACATCCTGCTTGGAAGGGTGGAGGTACAGTACAGGAGAGGAAGATCCTGGATGAGATGGATTGATTCAGTCACTGGGGTAATGGGCATAGATGTGATGGAGTCAGTGAGGCTGGCTTAGGACAGGGCATTCTTCAGAGCTGTAATACATAAGGGCTCTGAGTCACAGGTGACTCGATGGCACATAACACAACACCATGCAGCAATGGTTGGGGTAATGAATATCTGTGCAGTCAAATCTAAATGTAATTTAGAGTTATCCTTGAACAATGTTGGTTTG